TGAATGTGACTCAGTTAATGACTGGATCTTTGGTATAGTGAAGGATGCCTCACACTGGACTTAGGTGTCTTGTCTGATAGTTTAGACCTGACTCACCAGCTAGAATGACAGCCAATCTGAGGTCAAGAATGGGGACACATAAGTCATCCTGGCATCTCTGCCCAGCAGGGTGTCCCCAAACCAGTAGACATCATAGTGTTTGTGAACATTATTTTTAGCAGCATTTTTAAAATGTAATGAATGCATAGTCCCGGCACAGTTCAAATGACACAGCAAAGCAAACTGTCATTTCTGAAACAATGAATGCAAACCTGTATTTATGAAAGAGGCTGTTACAACCATCATCACTGTGATGGTTTCTAAATTATACATGGAAATGGTTTGAGTTTGCTTGAGACGTGGGCAGCTGAAATTAATTGCATATGACGATAGCATTTAAGGAAATGAAAGCAGTCCTGAAGAGGCACCCAAAGAATGAGGATTATCCAATGAAAAACAGAAATAAGCTCATTTCCTCAAGGGTCCCCCTGTGGACACTCCAGCTCCAGGCTGGGTCCGGAGACTCACAAGGAGAGAGGGAGAGAGGTTTCTCTGTGAGAAGTCCCTTGACTCATCATTTCAGTGAGTTGCCCATTTGCTTCCTTTTTAAAGATTTATTTTTATTTTAAAAATGTGTGTGTGTGTGTGTGTGTGTGTGTGTGTGTGTGTGTGTGTGTGTGTGTTTGTGATTTTTGCTTAAATATTATGGTTTAATTTTGATTTTTGTGATAAGAGTTGGAGCCGTAGGTTATAACCTACGGCCAATGTGGGTGCTGGGAAGTGAGCTTGGGTCCTCTGCAAGAGCACAAAGCACTAAGTCATCTCTCCAGCCCCCGACTTGTCCATTTTCTGATCAGTGAAAACAAGACAAAACATTGAGGTTATTATGAGAAAGAGGAGAGTCCTCAGAGGAGGGTCAGCACAGAGCATTCAGGGTACGTGTCCTTTCTCCACATCTGTGCTTGCCCTGCAGAAGAGGTAGCTAGTGCCAGCCTCTCCACACTGAAGAGATCAGAGGTTCTGAGGGGTCACCACATATCCCCAAGTGCAGACCCATTGCCAAGCCTGGTGACGGTTGGCAACAGATATGGACCTGGATGAAACAGAGGGATAGTGTCCTCGACACAAACAGCTTCTGAACACTCAGACTTACTCAAGGATAGGCCCTGACACAAGGACTGTCCTTCTCTGACATGGCATTTGTCCTTTAAGGAGGAAACGCAGATGCTAAGTGTGGGGCCTGGCTTGTTGCCAGCGTCCTGGGGAGGGTTAGCAGTGGTGGTTCTCCCTGCCCTTGGCTACAGTGTGGTGCTGCTACCTAGCACCACCACCCCTTTATCCCTGCAGACCATTCCTGGTGTAAGAGCAGCAGGCGTGTGGAGCCTGGGGAGGCTGCTGGGTACCTGGGATATGAACTGGACCCACCCTTTTTAGTGACTGATGTCAGACCATACAACCCAAGCATCTCCTTGCTTTAATTTCTCAACTTGTGTGTGCAGGTCAAGTTGGCTAGCCTCCTGGGACCCCAGGAAGGTGGGGAGCAGGGGAGGAAGATGAAGCATCTGAAATAACAACCAGCACAGCAAGTACTCCATCGGGGTGAAAATGACTATCCTAATCTCCAGACAAACAACACTACACTGACGGCATGAACTCCAACAGGTAAATGCAAATGATACTCAACTCCAACCTTGCAACTGCAAGAATTCCTGGCTTCAGTTCTTTGGTACCACACTCTCGTGGGATGCAGCAAGAGCTGCTCAGAGCCATTTGAAGGAAGCTGTGCACAGTCCATTCATTCTTGCTTCTATACTTGGAGGAGGAACAGCGTGTTTCATCTGAAACCCCAGCTTGCAAGCTCCTCGTAGACACCGGGAAGCCCCACTCTCAAGTCCAGAGATGATGGGAAGCAAATGTATGAAGTACCCCACCAACTTGTGCCCATTCTGTTTGAAACAGAGAATGAGAAGAGGAATTCCCCATTGGGTGCAGATTCATGGCCTGCTCTCTCCCTGGCAGGTGGCGGCTGAGTTAAGTGCATCACAGTTGTGCCAGGTTGCAAGCACGGACAGGTTGCTCTCCAGGCAGCAGGGAAGCTATGAAATCAAGTTAGGGAGTTCTGGGCTTGCCCTCTTCTTACCTGTTTATCATACGAAGCTCATGTCTTCTGTTCTTGGCACAGAATTTTCTCCTTCTCTGCTACCATGATGATGACACAGAGACAGTCTGTAATGTTGCTAACAGAATTGTTCAAAACCTCAAGTCCTTCGCTGGGTGTGGTGACAGCACTCAGGAAGCAGAGACAGGCGGAGCTCTATGAGTTCAAGGCCAGCCTAGGCCATGTAGAGAAATCTTCTCTCAAACAAACAAACAAACAAACAAACAAACAAACAAACACAAAACAACTCAAACCCTGAGACAAACATAAAGGCACAAAGCAGAAAAGCACAATGTCCATGGTCTAGCAAAAAACAAACCCTCTTTGGAAGCAAGGACTCTAACATTGACAGAAAAGTTCAGATGGGCCTGGTCTCGAAAAACCAAAACCAAAACCAAAACCAAAAAAAAAAAAAAAAAAAAAAAAAGTTTAGGGGGGAGAAACAGCAGGGGCTCAGGACGCAAATCATTGACTCAGCTATTTGAGATCAGAGACAGGACGTCTGTGGTCTTTCTGTGGTCTTTCTCTTCTGGAAAACACAGGACGACAGTTATCAGCTAGGTGTCACAGGTGATTGCACTCCTCAAGAATCCACTCCAGCAAGATTAACTTAAGGTTGCCCTGTAAATGAAGGGTTTCAACCTTTGCTTATTTTGACTTCCATTATTTTTATTCTTAGAATGCCAAAACAACCCCCAAGTTAGTTTTCAACTATTTTGTAGGTTGTCACTTAAAAACAGCACTTGCTGGTTCCTGGGGGTAACCCAGCTTCAAATAACTAGCTTCTGTAGGGATGAGGTTGCTAAAACTGTGATCAATTTTTTCCTTTTTGAATGAGACAAAAAGGCTTATCAATGAGTACATTTCACACACCCCAATCCTAACTACCTCCGTAAGGTGAAAACAAGACAGTGACTTGGAAGAATGGTATTGATATCTTGTCTACTTTCATCTTAACTTACCTATTTAGTGGGAAACAAAAGCTTTATGTGATGCCCATTTTAACATTTATAACCAAAATTAGTTAATGTGAGTAAAGTCACTTGGCTAATATCTAGGGAATACCTCCTATGCGCTTGCTCAACTTTACGCTAGACACCGACAATCAGAAAATCTACCCACAGCCAGGAGGGACTGATAACCCAGCGGTGTGGGGTGTGCTCAAAGTAAAAACTGGATAGCCAGGGGACCACCAGCTTGCATCCAATGCAGCCTTTCCCAGCTTTGAGTGACACACCACTGGCATGGCTGGAGATGCTCAGCTGCTTGACTTTATTCTATGCTGTCTGGAGCCAGCAGCCTTGGTACTGGCTTTTCAAGGATGATAGAGGGATGGAGGCCATAGATGGCAACAGCTTGATAGGAAGGCCAGCAGTCTGATGGAGTTAATTGGACTCTACATATTGTTTGCAGTCAACAAGATTAGAAACTAAAAGCCCTGGGGCTGGTGAGATGGCTCAGTGGATAAGAGTGCTTGGTATGCAACCATCAACATGAGTTCAAACCCCCACAATCCATGTAAAAAGCCAGAGGTAGCTGAATGTGCTTGAAATTCAAGGGAATAAGATGAAGAGTGATAGAACAGGGTTCATGATAATTGTCTTCTGGGCACACATGTGTATCTACCTCCTCACACACAGGTGCATACTACACACTTAAACACACACACACACACAAAACAAAACAAAACAAAACAAAAACAAAAGAAAACAGAACCCGAAGGCACTGGGCACTTGTTCAGAACAAGAAGTGGGCTCGGCACTGTAGTTACAAAAGAAAACAGAACCCAAAGGCACTGGGCACTTGTTCAGAACAAGAAGTGGGCTCGGCACTGTAGTTATATTGCCTGTTTACCTTCCCAACAACTCTTTAAGGTTTTATTATCTTGTTTTGCATATGGGGAAACTGAGGCTTAGGGGTGTCAGTGAGCTCAAACCAAACCTTGGGGTCCTCAGGAACTTTATTACCTTTTAGTAGCATATCGCTCAGGCTGGTTTCAGACCCGGTATGTAGCAGAGGAGGACCTCAAACTTTGGGTCCTCCTACCTCAATATCCCACAGGCTGGTATTAGGGCATCACACCTGATTTAAGTGTTGCTGGGGACCAAACCCAGGACTTCATGCGTGCTTTCCAAGCACCCAATTGAGCTGAATTCTCAACCATAGGACTGGATCCTTTCTCATTCCAGAGTTCAAATTCTGAAAGCATACCCATCCTCCCTCCATAGCTATTAAGTTGTAGCCAGATACCTACAAAGGGCTCTTCTATGTTCCCCATTGCACCTGCTAAAGCTCTCATTGATTGCCACCCCAAACGTTCTTCTCTAAGGGAGCTGATTCTCAGCGACATGTATAGAGCATGGTGTCTTACTCTATGCAGTACAGCACCGGAGAGACCTCGAATCTCAGGGCTCTGTAGATGTGCTCAAATGAGAGGTGGCCAGGATCAGCCTACAAAGAGCAGCTTCACTTACTGCACCATTCCAGTAGTTCAAGGCTCCTAAGCAGTGGGCCATCAGACAGTTTCGAAGTGTTTTACAATTCTGGATCATTTAAATAACTAACAGGTAAGAATGGAGGGAAGGAGATGGCCCAATAGACAGACATGAGCCTCTGGCAGCCCACCATTTAGGGTGACCTGAGACCTCAGTGAAGCCCACACCAACTGCAGCTCTAGAAGCCACTGGAACCCACCAGAACCCCAATACCATCTTGTGCTCCACTCCCTGGCTCCGCAGGCCTGGAAAATGAACCAAGAAATCTGAAAGAAAGAAAAAAAATCCACAGAAAATGCCCCCACCAGTTTGATTGTATAAATAGTTTATTTCTGTTCACAGCATCATATATGCATTATAAAAGGGGTAGGAACAAAGAAGAGAGTGGTGAAGACAGAGAATTACAGGAAAAACAAAAAACAAAAAAAACCTGGAATCCAGAGGACTCAGTCCCAACACTGTCACAGAGTGTGAAGAGAACAGCTCTAAATCATAACTGGCCTCCCTGTTGTCTATAGAAACCATTCCAAACCTTGCTTGGGGAGGCCAAATACCTCTCCAGGAACCCAAAGGGCAGACACATCACTCGTCCTTGCTGGCATGTGATAGGAACTCCCCCATGACACCACCACACAGTGATTTTCACTGGGTTCCCTCTTGTCACAAATGAAATGGGTTTTTATTAGGTCAAACATTACAGAAATCAACTGAGACTCTTAACTATTTGCTGATACACCACAGGGCTTGACTTTACTGCACAACTACTAACAGTCAACTGCACCCTTAAGTATTGATAATGGGGGGGGTTGGAGGTGGGGGAGAAACACCACAAAACCATCCCATGCCATTGTTCAAGCAGGCCAGGATCTGAACACTGACCTGGAACTCAGGTATTGAGAGCACAGGAAGGTTAAAGTATTTGGCATAGGCAATGTCACAAAATAAATATATTATTCTCTCCATATTGTGGAACTACCAAAATGTCAAAGTGCTTAAGAAATTGTGAAGAAAATAAAAGAAGGTGGATTTTTTTTTTTTTTAATAATTCTATACAGAATCTTCAGACCACGGGACCAGCCCATGAAGAAGCCAGTAATGCCCCATTGCTGTGTAAACAGATCTTGGAGGCTGCTCACCACTGCTTAGCTCTACTGAGTGTCTACAAAAACACCAGCATCAGAGGGCTATGGAACACACAAGGAAGGATCATGGACTGCTATATTTTGACTTTAAAAACAATCTAAGAATTGGGTTTCAAGCAGGAAGCCATGATTTCTGCCTATGGTTCCTAAGTTGACTCTTCGTGTTTCAAGGACAACAGGGATGGGCTCATATTGTGACCAACTCCGTGCTCACTCACAACCATGGCCTCCTTTGCACAGCAACGTGTCGTCATGGAGGGAAACCAAACTCCTACCCTAAAAGATGGATTCAGAGGGGAGATTGAAAAAAAAAAAACAACAACAACAAAACCTGCTAGTTGTAAATTTCTCTTTTGATACTGTGTTTCAGGACAAATGGCAGCTTTTACCAAGCCAAGACTCACTCCTGATTATAAAGGATTTTTAAAATTACATTATTAAAAATATGTATTTATTCTTTCACTTTATCTATTTTCCAAAGCCTTTTTCAAGTAAACTGTGAAGTGCCTGAGTACCAGTGACCATGACGTCACACACCTGCTCCCTTTTCATCTCAAGCACTCATTGTTGTTTGCGTTTAACCAAAGTGCTGGCTGGCTCTGAGGCCAGGCCAGCTCCCACAGGGTGAATTCCAAAGGACTCCATCCTTCAGACCTTCCTCTCTTCAAATCCATGCAAACGAGGTCAGCATTTCCAAGGTGGGGTTTTATTCTTTTGGTGAATGACATCAAATACTCTAATGACACACTTTGAGTAAAATACTGAACTCAGATAGGCTACAAAGACCCAACTCAGAAATCTGAACATGTCTCCACTTGTAGTGCCAAGGGGCACAAAAGGACAAAGTGAAGATTATTCATTTGTGGAAGTGGTTTTTTTTTTTGTTTGTTTGTTTGTTTGTTAAAAAAAAATGTCTGAAACCTAATCACCACGTGGTTAGAATGATCAGACATCCTTTCCAAGAAAACCATTTTGCAATTCAGCACACATCTGTAGTTGGTGTGCTCCTCCAAACCAATCAGTAGGCTGAGAGAATTTCAAATTCCACACAGAGGGTCCAGTATTTATGCCGATTATGCAGTATGGAGGGAACACACACACACACACACACACACACACACATATACACACACGAGAGAGAGAGAGAGAGAGAGAGAGAGAGAGAGAGAGAGAGAGAGAGAGAGAGCGCATTAATGTCAAGAACCTCACCCTTTGAACACCTGTACTGGCACCACCACCACCTCCAATGGTTTTCTGTTTTTCTTTGTTTTATTGGTCTCTTTATGTGATAGTGACCAACACACTGATAGGGCCTAGGCCATCTGTAAGAGGTCTCATGCCAGGCTGAACAGCAGTTCTCAGCAAAACCACACACACCCACCCCTGGAAAGTGGCGTCTTCCAGGCCATTCCCAGCCAAGGCCAGAAGTGCAGCAACACCCTGGGTCCTCCGGCTGCCGCATGGTCCCAGGCAGTCCTCTGGACGGACCCAAACCACCACCTCCTTTTGGGCCCAGAGCAGGACAAATGAAACTGCAAACAGGGGCCAGCCCTGTGACATAAAACTACTCAGTTTGCACAGCTCCAGAATGCAAGGAGCGGTCATCCCCACCCTCCCATCAGTACACCCCAGTGCCTACCCGCTCCCGCAGGGGTATCCCAGGAGTTCTGTGAACTGCATACCTCAGGTAACTCACACGTGATTTCCCCCCCGCATTGGGGGCTGGGCAGCCTGAACTTCTGGCCCTGATGGAGCAAGAAGAAATCGCTTTTGTGTCTCTGACATCCAACCTTCCCACCTGGGGCCAGAGGGCTCACCACCGGACCCTCGCGTCCTCACGTTCACTCCCCGCCGGTTACCCCCACCCCACCCCATCTGTAGCTCAAGCATTTAGACAAAAGGTCCCCTGAGCTGGGGTGGGGGGTGGGGCAGGTGGCGAGCAGGGTGGTGATGCAGCCTCCACATCCCAGGTTAAGTCTCCAAGTCCTGCATTAGGATACAGAGATCGTGTCTTAAAAACTCGAAGCATCGCTTTGGTTCGTTGTCTTTGTTCGCGGGCGCGGGTTCTCGCTCACCCAGACGTCCATTCATTCACTCAGTGGCTCGCTCACTCAGCCTCGTTTCCAATCGCTGCCCGGACGCATTACCGCTTCTTCTTCTGCTTGAGAGATTTCCTACGTTTCAGGATCATCTCATAGAGCTTGTCCATGCCCTCGGTGAGGCCCTCGCCGATGATGGCGCACGCCGGCTGGACATGGTAGGTGGTGGCCGGGATGAGCTCGTGCAGCGCCAGCTGCTTCTCAATCTCGGCCACCGGCAGCGACTTGGGCAGGTCCTGCTTGTTAGCGATGACCAGCAGCGGCGTGCCCTGGTTCTCCGCAAACTTGGTCACCTTGTGCAGCTCCGTCTTGGCCTCCTCCAGCCGGTCCACGTCCACCGAATCCACCACGTAGATGATGCCGTCCGTGCAGCGGCTGTAGGACTTCCACAGCGGCCGTAGTTTCTCCTGGCCGCCCACGTCCCAGAAGTGGCAGCTGATGCCCTTGGCGGTGCCGTTGCTCAGTTTGATCTTCTCGGTGTTGAAGCCGATGGTGGGCACCGTGTTCACGAACTCGTTGAACTTGAGCCGGTAGAGCACCGTGGTCTTGCCGGCAGAGTCCAAGCCCAGCATAACGATGTGCAGGGACTGGAAGGCCGAGATGTTAGAGGAGATGTTGCCCATGGCTCCT